GTATATATAAACGATTGATAGCAAAATATTTATTAGCAAGTATAATATGATAATTTAATCATATTAGAACTGAAGTTGTATAATAGTGAAAGCATAAATAACTAGCAAAAATGGATGATTTGATGATTAACTCACTCAATGAATAATCTCTAATTTTTCTTTTTAATTAATTGTGTTTTCTAATCCCAAAACCAAAACAGTTCTTGAAGGAATATAAACTTGTAAAAAGTTTTTTCTATTATTCCAAGCTAAATCAGTTGTGAAAAATCTTGAAGCTTCATTATCAACACGACCATGACCACCATATTGACTATCATCTGAGTTCAAAACAATACGATAAACACCACCAGTTTCAACACCAACTCTATAATCTGTGAATGATTGAGTTGGATTCAAATTGAAAATGAATAATAATCCAGCTTTTTCATAAACTAAAACTTGATCAGATTCATTCTTAAGTGAAATATAAGTATCTTTTTTATGTAACCAACCATATTTAGATTCTAAATGTTGCATTGCAGCATCAAATTTGTATAAAAATTTATATCTTAATAAATCATCACCTGGTAAATTGAATTGTCTTCTTGCATAATGATAACTATCACCATTATTAGCATTTGGGAAATCTAACCATTCTGGATGTCCAAATTCATTACCTTCAAAATTTAAGTATCCTTCACCACCTAAAGAATGAGTCAATAATCTTATGATTTTATGTAACGATAACCCACGATCAATAACAGGTGTCAATGGTGATAATGTGCTCATATTTGTATACATTTCAGCATCCATTAACCAAAATGCTAAAGTTTTATCACCAACTAATGCTTGGTCATGAGATTCACAATATCCAATAGCTTTTTCTGTATAACGTCTATTGGTTAAAGTATGAACAATCTTATTTATATCCCAATCTTCATCTTTTTGTTCTTTAAGAATCTTAATCCACATATCTGGTAAGGCCATTGCTAATCTATAATCGAATCCAACACCTCCAGCAGATCTTGGTGTACCTAAAGTTGGCATACCTGAAACATCTTCAGCAATTGAAATGAAATTTGTTCCTTCTTCTTTAGCAACCAAATTAATTAAATCATTAGCCAACATCAAATATGTAATAGCTTCATAATCAACTGCAGAATTTTCATGTAAATATTCGTTATAATCACCACTGAATGCACCACCAGCACCAACACCATGATGTAAATAAAGCATTGAAGTAACACCATCGAATCTAAAACCATCAAATTTGTAAACATCTAAATAAAATTTTAAATTTGATAACAAGAATCTTAAAACTTCATATTTACCATAATTAAATAATCTTGAATCCCATAAAGGATGTGAACCTTTTCCACCACTATGGAAATATTGATATTCAGTACCATCAAAGTTATTAAGACCATCATCAACATTTTTAGAAGCATGTGAATGAACAACATCTAATAAAACAACAATACCTAATCCATGAGCAGTATCAATCAATTCTTTCAAATCTTCTGGTGTACCAAATCTTGAACTAATAGCAAAGAAATTTGTAACTTGATAACCAAATGATGCATAATAAGCATGTTCCATAATTGCCATTAATTGAACAGTATTATAACCTAATTCTTTGATTTTTGGTAAAATATTTTGAGTAAATTCTTTATATGAACCAATTTTTGGTTCAGGAGTTGAGATACCAATATGAGCTTCATAAATTCTTAAACTTTCACCTGGAATTGGTCTCTTATTTTTAAATTCATATTTATGTTCAGGATTCCAAAATCTTGCTTCAAATGCAACTTCTTTTGATTCTTTTGGTGGTTGAGTTGCTCTTGTGATCCATGCTGGTAATCTATAAATCCATTCACCAGATGGTAAAACTAAAAGAATTTTAATTCTTGAATCATGAGGAATTGTTCCTTTTGGTAAAGTTATATTAAAGACACCATATTCATCCTTGGTTAATTGATAACGATTTGAACCTTCTGTAGACCAATTATTGAAATCACCAACTAAGAAAGCTTCTTTAGCATTTGGCGCCCATTCTTTATAATTGACATTACCAGTTTTGGAATCAACTTGGAATCCATAATCTTTATAAGAATCAGCAAACTTAACTAAACCACCTTCAGTTTGTTCAAATTTTTGTAACCAATCATCAGCCAATTGCCTTCTCTTAGCCAATTCATTAGCAAAAGGGGTTAACCATGGGTCAGCATCAATGGCTCCTTTGACAGATGGAGGAATGTTTGAGGTAGACATTGTTTGAGTTTATAACAATAGGATAATTTCCTTAGTTGTCTGTGGGTCTTCTTTAATGTTGAACACAGGGGGTAAACTCTTTGTTGTAATTAACCGAGAAGAGATTAATAGAACCAGATAAGCCAGCTTGAGCAATTAAATGGTAATGAGTAAATTTATTGCAATTGAATAACAATTAATTATGAAAATGTTATCTTCTTAATTTAATTATTTGTAAAATAAGTAACAAGGTTAAATTCTCTTCCAATTGTTTCCAAAATAATACGATACTCGAAGACAAAGGATGCAGCCCAACACATTTTTTTTGGGGGAGTTTGCGTTGATAGGAAAATCCGAGAAACCAGCAGCATAATTGCCCGCGAAATTATCAAAGAAGATCTACTTACTACTTATAATCAATAGCCTAATTGACAATGGCAGTATCTTCATAGCTTATCTTCAACTATAAGCTGCTGTTGAGAATAGCTTATTTTTCTTTGGAATATCCTTTCTTTAGTTCAATTTCATTCATTCTCTAACTAGTTGTAACTTACTAGCTGATTTTGATACGGTATGGGACGCATATTTTCTGGTAGGAACAGCAAAAAAATATAAGCACTCACGCTGGGGGTCGAACCCAGAATCTTCTGATTAGAAGTCAGACGCGTTGCCATTACGCCACGCGAGCTTTGTTGAAGTTTAAAAAATGACTGAAACCTTGCATTCTTCTGTGATTATGTAAGTGCTTAGTCATCCGATTAC